TATTATTAAAAAAAAGATTAGAAAAGATAAACTCATACGAGAATAAGTAAACTCGTATAAAAAGAAAATAAAAATAAGAAAAGGAAAGAAAAATAAGATTATAAAATTTTGAAAGCTATTTTTCAATAATATATGAGGGACAACGTCTTTTTTAACTTAAATTTTTGACTTGAATTAAGATACAATTTTTTAGCCGTTGATATTTTGTAATCCAATAAATATGAGAGAGTTTGACGGTAGTTATATATTTCTCACCTCAATAATTTCTATACCATTGAATTGTATCGAATCCATGGCAAAAAATTTGTGAAAAAAATTTAAGTCAATCTCATCCCAATTTATAATATTCTTTGCAGTACCTAATAACAAATTTTCACAAAACTTACCTCTCCCTTTGTGGCCGAATGATAGACCCTTTAATCAATGAGGTTAATTACACATAAAGGGTAAGAAGGTTGCCAGAATTTTTAGTGGGTTCAAAGTTAATAAATTTACAATAAAATTTTGTGGGGTCAATATGAATTTAAGTGAGGTCAAAATTATAAATATTATAAAATATAAAACCTTTTTCATTTTTTTTTTTCAAAGTTTGAGTGGGTTCAAATTTCAATATTAATTTTAAGTGGGGTTGAAAGAAATACTATAAAATATAAAGCGTGTTTTAATTTTTTGGAAAGTTTGAGTAGGTTCAATTGAACCCATATGTTACAGTATGGTTATGTCCCTATTAGAGGGTTTTGAGCTCGAGTCACATGAGAGATATCTAACACATTTGTGTAATTATCTTTGTCCATTGGGCTTATAGGGTGTTTCGTGGCCTTAAAGATTAAGCTAGCTCCAATATGGGTCGAGATACCTCATATACCAAAAAAAAAAAAAAAAAAAAATTTAGAAATCTTAACCCCCCATAGGTTTCATGTAATTGATCAGTTTGTTCTTTTGATTAGATCCAATGCAAGACATAGTTAGAAAACATATGCACCATCTAATTAATCAATTATCCTTTTTAATTAGATCCAATGGATCTATGTACTCACCAACTCAACGTGACATTTTATCCACAAATTTGACCACTCACTTCTCTAACATCTCCGACTCCGAGGAATATGAGACACTAAGTGTTGTGCAAACTCCTTAAGACTATGATCAATTATAGATGTATAATGGCGCAGCGAATTTAATGCTGAAATAAAGTTTGATTGTTAAGTAAGGAAATATATAAGAGAGTGAGTCCATTTTTGGAGAAGGACAAGTCCAGTCATACTCATATAATATGAGTTGGTGAAGTAATTAAAACAACTTCCTGTAGGGGTCATTTCGGTTAAATTTTTTTTGAAACATTATTGTACATCAACAGTTCGACCAACTGGGGAGAGTGTGTATATGAAAACATTAATGTCTATGAAAACGTAACGTGGTGAAGGAGAGTTTTAGAAAGCAAGTCTGTTGGAAGAGTAATGGCCAACCCCATCATAACACCCACCAATAATACTAATAATAAAATAATAAAAATTGTCATCATAGTCTCTCGGTTTGCAGTTGAAGATGAACTTCCACCGCCAATTTTATTTTTTATTTTTTAATGATAAGAGTGTTGTAGCTAACTTATGTGTACTTTAATTAATTTTCTAGAATTTTGAAATTAATAATCGGATAAGTCTCCAATGACCACCTCTATTAACAATCGAAGTAGATCAAATTCAATATCTTTTATGTAATATATCCAAACCCAGTAGTGGTTAAACCACTACCATTTTTTGCCACCATTCTCGGACATTCTTTCCTTTCAAGGCTTTTTTTCAACCATAACCTTAAAAATACATTATCATGTGCGAAACAGCTAACATTTTGTTAAATAATTAATTTAATGTTTCCATAATGTCAATTACAATATCTTGGGTCTCATTCTTTTTCTTTACTAACAGAAGGATTAATACATTAACACGTGTCATTAAAATAAAGCCAAATCTTGGGCCATTTGTTAGTTTCCAATAAAAACGGTGCTAAAGTGTTTAATGACAAAAATAGGGGGACCAAAATAAAGTCCAGAAATGATATTCCAACGGCCAAATCCAAACCAGTGAGTTGAAACGGTTTATAAAAGCTTACACATAAAAGCTCCCTCAATTCTCACAAGCTGATCACTGAATTTTAGACATGGCCTTGGAGAAGAGATCTCTGCCTCTGGTTGTTATGCTTACCTTGTTTTTGTTGAAGGTTTCCAATGCAGCTGTGTACAAAGTTGGAGACTCTGGTGGCTGGACCACCATTGGCAATATTGATTACAAGCAATGGGCTGCTACCAAAACCTTTCAACTTGGTGACACTATCCGTAAGTTTATTTCCCTTTGTTTTTCTTCCCCTCTAATTGCTCATATGTTGTTATAAAACTAGTTCATTCCTAATTATAATATTTGTTGTCAATGTTATTTGGTAATTTCCAGGAATTGAGTTTGTTTTTCTGGGTTAAAGTCTCTGTTTTGATATAATTTTGGTAGCTTCTGACTCCCCAATATCTCTCTTTTTAAGTGAAGCTCCTCTGTGAGAATGCCTGATTTCTGAAGATCAAGTCTTAATGAGCCCCTAATTAATTAACAATTGTCTTGCTCTCCAATCTGCTACTGTTTAAGTTTGTCTACATCTCTCTTCAGAACTGGAGATAGTGGTTTCCTTCAAGATTCCAATTTCAATAGATCGTAGTTCATACAGTGCTTCTAAAAGATGTATATTGGCGATATTGACCCAGTTTTGTTGTTTCTTTTTGTTTTGGCTTTAGGAAATTCCGCTTTCAGAGTCTAAGTCCTTTGCCAGTTTGCCTAGTCCATCAGAAAAAAAGTAAACTTCCTTTGTTAATGAGTTGTGCATGGAACTGAGTTGCAAGTGGCAAACACCAGATGGCTGAAGTCTAACATCTCTTCTCTGTGTCATAAATGCCAACCGTAGTGTCGTTGGTTCCTGGTTATGGTGGGCCATCACCATGTACATGTGCTTCCACGATAAAAAATCTCTCTTCCCATTCTTGCACGCTTCAATGATGGACGCTTTTGTCTTGGCACAGCAAACCCCACCTAACTTTTTCACTCACTGCCTATTTTTCTCCATGGTGGGGTTCAATATATTGACAATGTCTGTGGGGCATCAGATCCATTAACGAACCATGGAACTGTTATTTATTTTCTTTTTTCAACTTTTGCGTTTGGGCCTCTTGGATTTCAACATTTTTCTTTACTTGGTTTGTTTTTATGTAGAAAAGTATAAACTCAAATGCCACTTTCATGCTGTAAGGGTTATTTCTATTCATCTCACGGATAAACTAGTTGGTAACTATTCAGTCATTATTGCAAAAACAAAGTCCTGCTTACAATCATAGGACAGAAATCTTGCAGTGGGATGTGTCTAATTTCAGAAACCTTCATCATATATATCAAGAAATTTATTCAGAAGTAGGACCACACTGAAATGAATAGAATCTTTGATTATGTTTGGGGTTATAAACTCGCTGGACTGCTGTCAGATGTAGCCTTGTAATGTTGTCATATGTTGATCTAGTCAAAATAATTATTTCTGAAGGAGAATGCATGACTGTATTTTCGGTTTGTGCACTCATTTCATACTTTCTTGTCGCAATCCTAATTTGTTATACAGTTTATTGATTGGGGTGTCTTTATGTTTGAATTGGATGCCAGTTTTCGAGTACAATTCTCAGTTTCACAATGTGATGCAAGTGACTCATGCTATGTACAGAGCATGCAATGCTTCAGCCCCTTTGGCCACTTACACTACTGGCAATGACTCCATCACAATTAAAACTAAAGGGCACCACTTCTTCTTCTGTGGCGTCCCGGGACACTGCCAAGCTGGACAAAAGGTTGACATTAACGTGCTTCGCACAAGTGATCAACCGGCTGCAGCTCCTTCGGGTGCAGTGTCCTCTCCTCCTTCCGTCCCTGCAGCAAAAGTTCCAGGGCCTTCTCCGAATAATGCTGTCTCATTGAAAACTTTGACATCTCTTCTTGGTAAGTTCGGCTTGACAATGGTCGTAGTTTTGCTATTTTTGTCTTCAGGCCTTAGTTAGCGTAGCTTGTGAGCTATTTGGAGGTGGTGTTGTGTTGAACTATTTTGAGGCCTCTGGGGTGTAAGATTTCGTTTTGTGTTCCGGCAACAATGTCGAGAATATAGTCAAATGGATCGTTTTACTACACTAGAAAAATAACATCTGTAGAGAAGTTTTATCAAATTTGCTCATTCTTATTGATTATATGCAGCAATTTGTTATTCATACCTACAGTGTCGTAGAATTTTCGTAAATGAATTGCTTTAGACTTTCTTTTATTAAAGCATGGGAACAAACTGATTATCTTTGCTTGCACGTACCTCCTAACTATTATAACATGAATGAAAATGATTTCTCATTTTCCCATGGCATCGCACTATTCATAGTTATAAAGCAGAGTAAACGACTTTTTCCACCCAAATAATAGATTAATAACATTTTTCACCTACATATTTTTAAAATACCACTTTTCCACCCAAATGACACCTTTTAATGACACTTTCCCACATAGCTCGCCAATCGCTGCCCGATTTCGGTATCGTTGCAACCCCAAACCACCACATTTCTCTTTCTCGACCATCACTCATCAAAACCTCTCAAACATTACTCCTATCGACCCCGTTAATCGTCGGCAATAGAGCGATTAGGGTTTACGCAACCGTCTATCCCAAGTCAAGTTCTGACCAATTACAACCACCGAAATCTAACATTTCACCACCAAAAAACTTACTGGCCTCTCCTCTTCAAAAGCCTCAATAGAATAGACTGAGGAGGTGTTTGTCTAAGCTTATAAGCTGATCAAACTAGCTTATAAGCTCTAAAATTAAGCTGACCTATTTGTTTATAACATTTTTTAGCTTATAAGTTGAGCTTATAAGCAAAAAAAAAAATAAGTTGGGGGGGAGATACTTTTTTTTTTTTGGCTTATAAGCACTCTGCTTATAAGCTAGTTTGACCAAATATATCACCACATTATCCTTGTTTAATTTTAAAATTCCTTAGTATACCATTGTTTAATGTAGTACCTTTTTTAGTCATTTTATAATAAAATATACTTATAAGCCACATTTTACCAAACACGTCAACTACTTATCAGTCACTTATAAGTATTTTAACTAAACACGTAATTACTTAAAATTTCAAATGCTTATAAGCTAAAATTAGCTTATAAGCACTTGTTGCTTATAAGCTATTTTTCATAAGCTCAGACAAATACCCCCTGAGTTTGCTCTCTATTCGCTATTAAATTAAAAAGTGTATTTTTTAGGGTGAAAAAGTGGTATTTTAAAAGTTCATAAATGTAAAAGTGTCATTAAACAATTAGATGAGTGGGAAAAAGTCATTAAGCCTTATAAAGCAAAACAAATCATCTCAAATAATTTAAACATCTAGAAACTCATGCATGATCAATCATAATACAGGCCAGGAAAGAATTAATTACAGTGCTCTTTGAGAACTTTACTCAATTCAATGATATTGATTTGTTTGTCAACTTGAGCATGAGTCATTAAAGAATTTGCAGAGACTTGTGACAATCCTCCGTACTATAATGATTTAACGACTTTCTCAACTAAATAATGATTTAACGACTTTTTCTCAACCACAAACATGGTAAGGTTTGGCCAAATCCCAACTTTATCCTGGTACCATTTATTTCATATTTCTACCCTTAAATTAATATTATAAGTTAATTTTAAATTTTGACTCCTGCCCTTTATCATCCTGCCCTTTATTTTTATTTCACCCCACCCCACCCAACCACCATCACCCTCACCATGCAGCCACCACCACCACCCGCCAAACCCATTCGACTGCCGTTGAGGCCCAATTTGGCCTGATTCCAACGCTGATTGACAAACCCAACACCACCATTAGGATCCTCTCATCTCCCTCTCCAAAACCCCTCCACTTCTAGCTCCAATTCCGGTTGTTCTCCCTCTCCAAAACCCCTCCATTTCCAGCTAGGGGTGTGCAAAACTGGATATATGATCCAGTTTGCCTATTGATTTGATTCAATTTTTCGGATCGGGATAAAAACTGATCCGAATCCGATCTAGTTTCTGACTGATCCGATTTTGATCTGATTCGAAAATTCAAATCAAATCAAGTAGATATCCAGTTTTGATCCGATCCGAAAATTCAGAACAAATCAAGTGGATATCTGGTTTTGATTCGAATTTGAAATGTCTCTTTTGACAGCAATGCTGAAGGACGTTAATGGCTTTCTCCCTACCTGTCTCTAGCCTACTCCAATATCAACAGCCACATACCCACACCATTACCATCACCATTACCATCACCATCACCATCACCATCACCATCACCATCATTGATCAACACCACCCACCACCATCACCATCTTCAAAAAAAAGAAAAAAAAAAAAATCATCACTACAAAATATCAAACTACAATCAAGAAACCTATACCCTTATCAAATCAATCTATAAAGAACACAAACAACAAATGACTTTGCTATTTTGAGAAACATCCATTTGAGTTGCTTGATTAACAGATAGATCTTCTGCAGAGAAACTTGAATGACTTCAGAATGCTCATGTTCCAAGCTTGGTTGGTTTTCATCTTCAGTTCTTTTGCAAATTAGAATTGTCTGTAATCTCATCCTTGGGAGATGTCTCAAAACTGCCACATTCACGACCATTGTTGAAACAGAAACAATACTTTTGAAAGGTGAAGCTATTAGGGGCAAGTGGGCATGCAAGTTGTTTAGGGGAGGAGGTGATGGGAAGTAAAAATGGTGGAAACGTTTCTAGGTTTTATACATTTTATAAATTTAATTTTTAATTTTCATTAATATTTAATATTATTAATTATTAATCTTTTATATGGATTTTTATTATACAATTGGGCCTTAAATCAAACCATTTTATTATAGAATTGGGCCTTGGGGAAATCAATCTAACGTATATAAAAACAAAATCTTGATATGGATTCAGATATCCAATTTTTTTGAAAAGCTAATCTGGTATCCGATCTGAAAATCCAGATCTTTCAAAATTTTGATTTGAATCCATCCGATCCAGATTTTCGGATATCCTGTTTTTCGGATCGGATTAGATCGGATACAAAGTGGATATTGGATATCGGATTTTTTTGCACACCCCTACTTTCGGCTCCAAGTCATAGTCTATTAGGCCTGATTCCGATGGTTTTCCTACTCCAAAATCCCACTACTTAACACCATTGGCCTCTCCACTTCCTCTTGAACAAAACCCCTACTAGCACTGACCACCTTTGCTTCCCAATCGCTGGCCGTCACTTGTTGCAATTCGCGACCAAACCACCCTATTTCCAAATGGGGTTTTGGAGAGGGAGATGAGAGGATCCTGATGGTGGTGTTGGGTTGGTCAATCGGCTTTGGAATCAGGTCAAATTGGGCTTGAACAACGGTCGAGTGGATTTAGTGGGTGGTAGTGGTGGTGGTGGATGATGAGTGTGATGGTAGTTAGGTGGGGTGAAATAAAAACGAAAGAAAAGGATGGTAATTGCACAAGTTAAAATTTAAAATTAACTTACAGTGTTAATTTAAGGGTGGGAATATGGAATAAATGAAACAAGAGCCGTATGAACTTGGGATTTGGCTAGACCTTGGGTGGGAACATGTCTTTTGCTCTAACCATAAAAACCTTTGCAATCAGATGAATATTTTGCTTCAAATTATATTTATACATCGTTCAATTTTGCACAAACTAGACGTTCAAAAGTCAAAACTACAAAATTAAACCAAATGGTTGAATGAAAAGATCTCGATTTTATACATTGGTAATCGTAATAGGTTTAGAGGAATAATGACTGCTAATTAATTGCTTATGTACGAAAAATCAACTCCACTTCATATGAATCAAAACAAAATCCAACCCTAAACCTCATTCGATCATTTTGTTTCTAAAGATACCAATTCCTTATTTTTTTGAAGCTTTTTTATGACATCAAATCAAGTGTTTTATTCTTTCGGCTTCTGCTGCGAGGGCTTGGTTGAGTTGTCGAGTTGATTGTTGTGAATGTGTTATTGTTGTTGCGTCATCTATAGCAATTTTAAGGTATGTGTTTTCTTGTTCTTCGAATGATTCTAATTTACAAAGAATATTGCGGTGAATTCTAACTGTTGGATCAAATGCCAAAGAGAATTTCAATTTTGGCTTGGATTATGCATTTTCTTCTTGTTAAGATTTTAATCTCTGCATTGTAACACACACGAGCTATTTATTGAGCATTTTTAATAATGCTTTTGTTATGAACAACTTGCTAGAGTTAGTATTTTTTGCTGCCTTGACCTTGATTGCCTTTCATGAGTTAATGTCTTATTTTATTTAAGTCAATGTGTAATTGATCATTGTTGTAAGTTACTCGATCGTCCTTTTAATGGTCGTTAGAGATCTGTTAATTTTTTTCCTATCCAAAAACATAACTTGAAGTTGAAACGTTGGGCACTGGCGGCATGGCCTTTGGCCTGCATGTTGCACGCTCAATGTTGAAGGTTGATAATATGTTTCATTTGCTTTAATCTTATATGGTTTTGCGGTCTAGACCTGTCTTTTTTCTTTCGTGGTCTTGCAGCTCCCCCTATGGCCATCAATCGTTCTCAAACACTGAGAAAGGGAAAAAAAACACAAGAAGCTTAGGAAGGAGGCAACCACTTCCTCACCCAAGTTTCCAGAGGGGACTGCCATGAGCGGCGATAAGACCATTAGCACGGCTCAATCTTCTTAGGGCCTTCCAACAATTCTTCGAGAACCATTAATGCTGGTCGTACCCAACCAAGCTCTTTCTAACTGGGATCATCCAACATCCGACCCAACTACTAGATTAGATAGTGGTTGCCCTATGGCGTTTGGCTCTTTTGGACATACCTTTCCAGGAATTGGCTCTAATGTTGATGAGCAGGTTTTACCTCCCGAGACTAGGCACTTTTGCGAGGGGCTTTCTAAGTCCCTCATTCCTTTTGACACGATAATTACCCTTGATATTTTGAGTACCCAAGCCATGTTGAAGTTGGTAGTTGGCCTCCTCTTGAAGGTAAGTTTCTCTTATCTTTTGGACTTTTTTTTGAGATTTTATTTAGACTTGTTGGTAGCTTTATCACCTGATGACTTTTGTGGTAAGTTCTACCAAACCAAATGGATGTCGCTATTGTGGAGGCAACAACAAAAAAGTCTTTTGACGAAGCAATGAGAGAGATTTCCAGGCTCAAGAAGAAGAAAAGGGAGCTCAAGGAGCGACTTAAGGGAATATATGCCGACCTTCTTGAGAAAAAAGATTAGTCTCCAAGTTATAGAGGAGGCCAACAACATTATTTTGGATAGGGATAAGGAGATGGCCATATTAAAAGGGAACAAAAGGCAATTTGAAGAGAGATATTTCAATGGATGTTCACTGCTATAAGAGAACTAATGAGTATCATAGCTTTGAAGATGACACTTATCTCAAAGCCTTAAACGATGCCATGCGTGTTATCTCAACTAGGAATCCTGGCATGGATTTCTCTTATGTTGTTGAGATGGTGAACCTTAAGCCTGACCCTAGCACATAGCCAGAGCCAAGCAATTTTATCCCTTTTGTGGCCCAGGATGACCACTATGAAGATGCTTGGGATACCACCAAGTCCAACCGCAAAAGGGAGGATGCGATGAAGAGAGCTTAGGAAGAGGCGTCTAACACAAGTGGGGGTAGCAGTGAAGATGATGCAGAGACTTTTTCATCTCACCCAGAAGATGAACGTCAACTTGGAAGTGGTGGGAATGGAGGTTAGAAGGGTCAAGGTGATGGTAAGGATACCCCCAATGCTTAGAGGCTAGCATCCACATGCATCATTAAGGAGCTCGCTCACCCTTGGTGACTTGGCATTAAATCCTTTCCCTTTTCCTTATGTTTTTTCTGTACATTTTGGCTACTTGGACTTTTGTTGGTGTTTGTAGGGGATTCACTACCTCGCTTGGATTTATTTCAAATCGACAGGTTAAGGGGTTGGCAACCCAATGCTTATTATCTTTGTTGGACTCTTCTATTTTTACGCTGAGGAATATGGCTCCTATTATTGCATGTTTACTTTTTAACAAGTCTTAAGGTTTTGTTTCGTCGAGTTGCTATGGCTTGTCCTCTTCTTTTATAAAGGACTAGTTTGTGGATAGCCATGGCCGCTAGCATGTGGTGTTGATAGCCTGCACTTCCCTCTATTGTTGAGGTGGGCAATCATATGGGTGACGAGAGGCTAAGTACTTTGCCTTTTCACACTTGGGGAATTTGCTTGATTGATTATCTCATGACCTAAGCTTGATCTCCTTAATTTGGAGTCACATGGCAACTGAAGAAGTCTTCCATTAAACCCAAAATTGGAATTATTCAAAAGTTATTATCAGTGTGACAATAGAAACAACTGAAGCTACAATTACTGTAATCAAAGTTGTTTAACACATTTACTTCTCCCTTTCTCACATGCCACTATGAGTGGCCTCTTATTGTACCCCTAATTGAGCCAAACATCTTGACCTCATAGTTGTTGGGACCGACTACCATAATTAATATTTTCTACTGTAGAGTTGAGGGCTGGGAGATCTGTCCACCTGGAACCCAACCCTTTTTATGGATCTCACTTCTCCTCCATGGCTCTATCCCCTTCCTAGACGTCACCTCTTTCCCAATGACCACATTCTACTCTACTCTGTTGTAGAAATTTCTCATGTTACCCCTGAACTGCTCAATGAACATATGAAGTTCGAACTTTTGTTTTACTATACTACCACATTATAACTTTATAGGACCCTTGTTAGCAATCCTACTATTTCCCTGCCCACGTGAGATGATAGAAAGCGGCTTACCAAGGGAGGGTGTCCAACTCCTTATAAGCTACTGAACCCTCCCATTCCTTTCCAATGTGGGATCCTAACATCCTCCCACGCTTCGAGACCCAACGTCCACTTAACCCTCATATTCCTTTCCAATGTGGGATCCTAACATTCCCTTACGCTTCGAGACCCAACGTCCACGTTGGTCACTCTAGACGTCTTCACTCTACTCTGGGCAACTTCACTTACTACCTTTCAGTAGTAGCCCTTTCCCAGGTTACCCAGGTCACCCCTTCTGGAAGGTGGGGTCGAGCGAGGTTTGGCTTTGATACCAATTGGTAGAATTTGGGGCCTAAACCTTGGGTCAAGGGCTAGGTGGTTGGGTAAAATTCACCTTGGAAAATCGGCTTTCCAAGGGAAGGTGTCCAACTCCTTATAAACCACTTAACCCTCACATTCCTTTTCAATATGGGATCCTAACATGAGATGTGAGATTTTAGTTGGCACTAGGGAATTGTACTGGACGGCTATTCTGGAAGATGTATCCAAGAAAAATTCTTTCCGGTGATGTTTCCGGTGACGACTACTTCACCTGAAAATCCTGAGGATAATTGATGGCCTAGAGAAATGAAGACGCTTTGGTGGACCCTCGCTATTGGTATATAACAAATGCAAAACTACTGTATAACAATTACAGGCTATCAATAAATATGAAAGTTAATGAAATACAGCTGATCTGCCAAGCATTAGAACTAGCACTTACGGGTGTATAACTTGGCAAAGAAACTAAAGCAATTTTATTTGTCTCAAAATATTAATACCTCCATTCGTGTCCGCTAGATTTATGTTAAAAACAATGTTTTTGTTTTTGTTTTCTTTTTAATAAGTCTCTTCAACTTATAGATGTTGTATTGGAATTAGAAACAATGTAAAACATGGTTGTCTATCCAAAATATAATTAATTTTTCGAATCCTGTATCGTATATGTATCTTATAGGATACAATTTTTTCAAAAAAAAATAATAAATTTTATTTTTCTAATTTTATTTTATTTTTTTTGTGGAATGGTAAGAATTTTATAAAAAAGACAAAAAATGTATAAAAACGAGAGGCATATCCCAAGAGAAAGACTGATAAAACTCAGTCAAGAAAACACATGAAAGAAACCCACAAAGCCATAAATTGGCATAAAAGAGCACACAGACTCTCCACAAAACAAATCAGGAAGATGCCATAAACCACAAAGCCACAAACTAGCATAAAGAGCACGCAGGCTTCTCACAAAGCTAATCATCCCCACAAAACTAAAAATTTCTAAAAATTAATATCATCCCCAACATTAATTAACAAATTTTTTGATATTATTGGCTTTAAATTATGGTATTATATAATCAAAATTAATCATACAATTAAGAATCTATATTATTTTCTCTTAACCATTCATATCATTTCTAATATCAATGTCAATATTTATATCTTCACTTGTGTTATTATTATCATGCAAAATGGACACCACATCTTCTTTTTCACTTTCTCCATGCAAAATGAGTAAATTTAGGCGGGTTTTAGTGAACTAGGTTGGGTGTCGCAGATTCGACGTGAAAATTTTGTTGGGCCTTTGGCTCAAATTAATAAAGTTGTATCGATATTTTTAAGGATACGAACCGATACGTATCGTATCGTAGGATACATATTAACATATCGAAAAGTTTATCATACACTTTCTGATACGTATCGTTGATGACCTGTATCGAATCGTATCGTAGGATATATATCACATATCATAGGATACTAATAATCATGATGTAAAACATTTCATTTATGATTGATTATATCATCCCATGATCAGGCAAGCAAATTTCATAAAGAAATTGATTAATTACAAGATCATATGACATTATTTACATGTTATGTACGAGTAATAGGATAAAAAAAGTATTTATATTTTTGACAAGCCATGTCCAGCAAAGGTAAAAATATTCATCCAAACAAATTATTTCTTATATAATTAAGTTACCCCTAAAATCGTCCTCCTCTCCGAACTACAATACAATCTCTAGATTCTTTGCCCCAGAGTTTTTGCTTTCTTCATTAGCATCAAGCAACATTAGCCCCAGAATTTTTGTTTCCTTCATCAGCATCAACCATGAACCTCCTCCAGATTCGGTGCTGCTTCCAGACCCTCTCCAGCATGACATCAATCGGAACATTCTTTGTCTCCGGCAAAAGAAAGAGCGCGAAAAACCCCATGAATAAAATCCAAGCGGCAAAGAAGAAGAAAATGCCAGCACGCATATGGCACAACATTGATAAGAATACTTGAGCAATAAGAAAAGTGAAGAACATGTTTGAGCTGACAGCAAACGCGAATCCTGCAGTTCTCGTTTCGAGAGGGAATATTTCACTCGGTATCAACCAACCAAGCGGACCCCAAGACCATGCGAAAGCCATTACAAAAACGCACACAAATACCACCACCAAAATCGCACTTGTTTTTCCAAGTGAACCTGTAGTCTGCAATTGAGACTGTAGAATCGCTCCAATTATAACCTGCATTACATTATTTCATTGGTTAATGACCCCAAAAAAAAAAAAAAAAAAAACGATGAATATGATAAATGTATGAGCGGTAAATGAAAGAATAAAATCATACTTGGCTGATGAACATCTGGACGCAGGCTTGGAGAAGCAATTTTCTCCTGCCGGCTTTATCAACAAGGACAATCGAAACGAGGGTGCTAAGCACATTTACTATTCCAGTGATAACGGCAGACAACAAGGAAGCATCGTTCTTAAATCCCACAGTTTGAAACAAGACAGGTGAATAAAACATAATAGCATTTATTCCTGTAAATTGCTGGAAAACTTGCAACATCACGGAGATAATTAGCTGTGGCATGCTAGACAGCTTCATGAGTTCCTTGAATGGATGCTTCACTTGACTAGCTATATCACTAGCGAATTTAATTTGCTCAAACTCAGCGTCAACATCTTCTACACCCCGTATCTGTTTCAGTATTTTTTTCCCTGCTACATCCTTTCCACGCTCGATTAGGCTAGTTGGTGTCTCAGTGATTACAATGGAACCTATAAACAGAATACAGGCTGGCACACCGGCTAGCCCCAGAGAAATTCTCCACCCGTATGGATGCACCATTGACGTTAAATAATTTACAATATTTGCAATTAATATCCCTACAGTTACAAGAAGCTGGAAGAGAATATTCACAGCTCCACGGTACTTCACAGGGGCTATCTCTGACAAGAATAAAGGAACGGCCTGTGTATATGCACGGAAAATTAGATTTGCTTTAACAAAAAAAAAATTATGTATAATGTAAAGAATTTCGGTTATCTAGTGATCATATACCTCATTGCCAAAACCGACTCCCATGCCGAGAAGAATCCTACCAACAATGAGCATCCAGATTTTTTTAGCACCGGCACTTAAGGCAGCTCCGGCAAGAAAAAAGGAAGATGCAACTAGAATAGTGGGTTTTCGACCGAATTTGGTGCACACCTTGGATGCAACAAAGCTTGCAAATATAGCAGCAAGGTATAATGAAGATGTAAAAAGCTGAAGGTATTGATTATCATATTTGCAATAATTGTTTTCCTTAGCATGCAGCTTTCTTTCATGGACCTTAGGAAAGAACTCAATCAAGAAATCATCCATGGCCGTCACTCCACCTATAATCAAAATGGACTGTTATATTGGTATACCAATAAATGTCCGCATAATACTTAAACGGAAATATTTAAAACAATATTTAATTGAAATTCTCCATCTAGTAAGATAATATTTTTATCATAATTTAAGGCACGTAATAAGAAAACAATTTTATAAAATTATTTTTCACTTAAAATATTCATTACAAACTACTAAAAGAAAAATATTTCCCATAATTTGAAAGCTTTTTCACAGTGCAAAATAAGCCATCACGCCATTGATGAGTGATTTTTTTTTTTCTACTATAGTAAAGAAGATGGTTAAAATCTTTAACGCGTAATATTCATACTGAGGATAACTCATGGATTAAATATGTGGAACTCAATCACTGATTTATAAACCAAAGTTCAAAATAACCTAAATAAATTTTATGTGACAAGAATCCATACGTACATAGAATCAATCTCCGAATTATATATATTGCATAAAATTATTGATAGAATCTCTTTCTCTTACAGAGGGTGTCGTAATCCAAGACTTGTTTATTTAAAAACAATATAGTTTAGATTATACATACTGTACTAGAGATAAAGATAGGAATTAATACCTGAAATTCCAATGTCGTAGCCAAACATAAGGCCGCCGGAGGCTGCAAGAATCCAACAGACAATGACATATATTGTGATTTTTGAGTTGAAATTCTCGGTAGCACTCATGTTTATCTCTAGAAACTCGCTAATCAAATATCGAAGGAAATAAACATAGAAGTTATGTAAAACGAGAAGATTACCAGCATACTTGCTTGAAGAAGCTATAGGTTTTCACTGAGTATAAATAGGTGCTTTAATTAGTTAGAAATTAAAACTAATGAATGATTTTGTGATTTTTTATATAATTATTTTTTGGTTTATAATTATAAGTTAGCGACATAGACGCGATTTAATTTGCAACTTAACTGTAATCCATATAGCTGTCTTATCACTTGTCATTAAGTTGTAGATATGTATCTCCAGTTATCTTAAAAAGGAAAGCCAGGATATCATACACACATATATATATAGTAGTATAGATTTAGTGAAATTAGTATTACAATTATACAGCAATCAAAATTTAGGTTGGCAAAAGTTCTATATTATATTATGTTACGATTACATGAAGTGTTTGTAGCTTAATCAATTTCATACAACAAATAATTTGATGACATAAATTGTAATTGACTGACAATTGATCAATTATTCTAAACATAAATTGAACTTGTACGTTTGGAGATTTGAAACCTAGTTACAGAGGTAAACAATTGTCTAATTAATGGTATGAGTATAATTTATGAGATGAAATAATTGGAATATTTGAGCTCGAAAGCTAGGATATTAATACTACATCATTTGGACTGCTCATGTATAGATTAACACAAACTTTAAATGTATTATGAGTAAAAGATTTTTTCCCACCAAAGTTTGCCTTAATGAACTTTCTACCTATAAAGTTTTAAAATACCACTTTTCTACCCAAAATTAATATTTAATTACTACCCAAAACCGATTCCAATCGATTTCGATGACAAAAATTCTCTCTGTCACTACCATTTGAACATCTGGTCTTTTCTCTACAAAATTAGTTTCACTTTGACACTTGATTTCTTACCGATTATCAGCCACCGCAAAACTAGGGTTTCTTGTTCTTAGATGATTTCCAGTTAATTCTGGTAGCGAATATTCAATTGGTCACCACCGTTCGATTCACCGGCCTCCACTCTACAAAACCTCTCTTACCTTGGCTCCTGATAATGTTTCGAACGCTGACTGAGAAATTGAAGTGTATTTTAGGTATTAACGGAATATAAACTTTGGGTGGAAATTGGTATTTTGAAACTTTTTGGTTGGAAAAATGTCGTTAAGGCAAACCTTGGTTGGGAAAAGGTTGTTTAATTATTCAATGTATTATTATTCTGTGGTTAGAATATAGAAATCAGAACAAATTAAAGCATGTGGATGATTGGATATAGAATTAGAAATGTTTAATACTGTGCGTATTAAGCAATATAGACCGTTCTGCAAATAAAATGATATGATCCTAGATAACTATCTTTAGATAAACACAACCCTTTTATTAACCAAATTAGCTAACTAATTGAACTATTGAAGAGTGATGCTATCGACTCTCCGAGACCTATTATCAAATAAGACCTCATTTCTAGATAAACCCCTTTATTATGTTTAAAGATTAATTTAACTTCTAATTAAAGATACTCTTAATCATTTCAACATTATTCTCAATAAGTACAATTTTTTTTTTTAACCCCTTTTTCTCTTCTGCACTTAAAAAAAAAAAAATTAATTTTCCTTCTTTCCCACCATCACTTCCTGCTTGAGATTAACCAATTAAGAATTGATGGCTGAAATTTAATATTTTTTGAATCTTTCACAACACAATATATATAACAAAAGAAAAAATTATTCGAAATAAAGATAAAACTTCTTTGANTGTGGTTAGAATATAGAAATCAGAACAAATTAAAGCATGTGGATGATTGGATATAGAATTAAAAATGTTTAATACTGTACGTATTAAGCAATATAGACCGTTCTGCAAATAAAATGATATGATCCTAGATAACTATCTTTAGATAAACACAACCCTTTTACTAACCAAATTAGCTAACTAATTGAACTATTGAAGAGTGATGCTATCGACTCTCCGAGACCTATTATCAAATAAGACCTCATTTCTAGATAAACCCCGTTATTATGTTTAAAGATTAATTTAACTTCTAATTAAATATACTCTTAATCATTTCAACATTATTCTCAATAAGTACAATTTTTTTTTTTAACCCCTTTTTCTCTTCTGCACTTAAAAAAAAAAAAATTAATTTTCCTTCTTTCCCACCATCACTTCCTGCTTGAGATTAACCAATGAAGAATTGATGGCTGAAATTTAATATTTTGTGAATCTTTCACAACACAATATATATAACAAAAGAAAAAATTATTCGAAATAAAGATAAAACTTCTTTGATCTAGGTCTTTCCAATTCAATGATTTCTTTTTGCCGTTTTTATTAATTTAATCTAAGGATATATTTGTAATATGAAATTATATATTTTTTTTAATTGGGTGCTTAATAGGTAATTGGTGCAGTGCCATAATATTATATATATTAAGATTTAAGTGTGTTATAGCAGTAGATTCATATATATATGACCGATACATTAATTAAGGATTGATTAATTTCCTTAATTTTGTAATTGAATTAAGTGTATGTAAATTAATGCCACCGCTCATAAGTGCAAATCATGGGATTAGAGCGCAAGAAATTAATTAATTTTGTTTTGTGACTTGTTATATACAGTATATAGAAATAATAATATTCAAGCTCATGTGAATTTGGATATCAGTGAATTATTAAAAGCTAATAGATCAGATCTGTGAACAAATTAACAATAACTATCAATCTCAATGCTTTATTACCATTAATTCAACTACTTATGGGTAAGAGAAACTAAAATCAAATCAAGAAAAGGTAAAACCTCGACGACTTGATGGGAATGATCAAAAGGTGGAAATAATTTGTTCTCTGTAACATCAAATTATTATAGTGGTAACTCGTCCCAAACTTGTTTATTCATGAATTGAATATGATGGTGATGAAGGAAGGGAAAAGAATTTAATTATGGAGACGACTGATTTTGTTTTTTTCCTTACAAAGTATGGGTGAGAAAATAATACAGGAGAGGTTGATGTTGATTATCATGTCATGGTTTGATGAGCAAGGTCACTCTTTCGTGGCTTAAGTTCCGTTCCATCCAAATGAGTCATGTATCTTTTCCAGAACCAATGTTGTTTCCAGACTCTCTCGACCATGGCGTCGACTGGAACTCCTTTTGTTTCTGGCAAGAAGAAAATGGAAAACATGCCCATTACCAAAATCCATGCAGCGAAGAAGAAGAAAATACCCGCTTGCATTGAGCAAAGCATTGACAGGAAAGCCTGTGCAATAATGAAAGTGCAAAGCATGTTCGTGCTGACAGCGAAGGCGAAACCAGATGTTCTAGTTTCAACAGGGAAGGTCTCGCTGGGAATGAGCCATCCAAGAGGTCCCCATGACCATGCAAAACCAGCTACGTATATACACACTAGAAACACCACAGCCATTGCTTGTTTTGGCTCCAGATTCCCGGTGGGTTTCAAGCCTATCACTAGAATAATACCGATAATAGTCTGCAACCAAACACATAACATGTTAAAATCAATTAGGGTCGTTTGATACGGTTTCTTAGAAGTGGAGTTTATACGAGAACATAGATATATACCTGCGTAACGAACATCTGCACAGAAGCTTCAATAAGCAAAAGTTTTCTACCAATTCTATCCACTGCATAAATAGAGACCAATGTGCTAGCCACATTGACAATTCCAGTGATGACAGATGAGAGAAGAGATGCATCATTCCCAAATCCAACGGTCTGAAATAGAACTGGTGCGTAAAACATGATAGCATTGATACCAGAGAATTGCTGGAAAACTTGCAAGATAATTGCGATGACTAGTGGTGGTCGGCTTTCACGCTTCATGAGTTTTCGATATGGGTTTGTTATTTGTTTAGCTTGGTCGCACGCAACAACAATAGAATCAAACTCCAGATCCACATGGTCGACGCCACGGATCTTCTTCAGGACTGCCTTTCCTTCCTCAAGTTTATTGCGCTCGATAAGGCTTGTTGGAGTCTCACAGATAGCCAAGGAACCTATACATAACATCAGGGCAGGAATTCCAGCAATAGCGAGTGAGATTCTCCATCCATAAGGATGAATTTTTGATGTCACGTAGTTCACCATGTTGGCTATGAATATCCCAATTGTTATAAAAAGTTGGAAGCTTATGTTAAGTGCCCCACGAATCTTCGCCGGAGCTAACTCGGAGAGGAAAAGAGGGACGGCCTATAATTCCATTAATTGCAAATTTAATATCAATCAATTAAGTAATATAATTAACATTATCAATTGTATGAATATAATTCTTACTTGATTCCCGAATCCAACTCCGAAACCAAGAGAAATTCTTCCAAAAATCAACATTTCCATATTTACGGCTGAGGCCGTTAAAACTACTCCGAGCAAGAAGAAAAGAGAAGCTATTTGCATGGTGGGTTTCCGACCTAACTTTGTACAACACTTTGAAGCTATAAAGCTAGCTACAAGAGCGGCAATGTACAAGCAAGAAGTAAACAATTGGAGAAACTGATTATCATATTTGCAGTAATTGTTTTCGAGGGCATGCGACTTCTTTTCATAAACAGCTGGGAAAAATTCCTTCAAGAAGTCATCCATAGCTGAAACACCACCTGCAATACAAAAAAAGAAAAATTACTTCAAATGTTTATATTCACTTTCACATCAAAATCAAAACATATTATATATATATATAAAAAACTTTAACCTGAAATTCCGATATCATAACCAAACATCAACCCTCCAAAAGCCGCAATAACGACACAAATAATAACTGTAAATGTTATTCTGCCTTCAAATTCCGGCATATCGCCTCCGGAAGTAACAATGGCCGGTGCCATTTTTGCCTCTCCAACCGTATATATATATATAGCACAAAGAAGTTGTTTTGTTATGTAACATAAACATACAGCGGAGAGGAGAAGGCAGAATGAAGAGAACTAATATACAAAAAGAATAGAACTGATGAGAAGGTTGCCGTGAAGATAGGTTCTTGCACGGAGTGGATTGTTTATATAACAAAGACACCCAAGTTGAAATACTAAAAACGGAATGGTTACATGCTTCTCGTTCTCCGCATGAATAGGAGCATGCTTTATAATTTAATGGCTAAAATTATTTTGGATAAATCTCCTAATCTGTAGGACGCTTTTTCCTCCTATGATTCTGAAGAATTGTGGTCATACATCTGTTAGCGACATATCTTGTTCTATAATAGTTCATTGCTATTTTATTTTATTTTATAAATTATTTAAACTAAGTAATTGTTTATAATTTTCATTTTAAATGATTTAAGCTATTTTATTCTATATGGTTTTCACTTTAAGCTGGTAGCTTGAGAGGGCGAATCTTGTTCAAGCATTTCAGTTTGTCTTTACAAGAAACTTGCTAAACGGGTAGCAAGATTTTTTTTTTTTGGTTCATTTTAATTCTAACTTTGATATCAACCATTGGATCTTTTAAACCAAATCTAACGGCTGAAGCTTCCCAACGTAAGTTATGAACCTTATCTTGGACTATATCCATATTTCGCCATTACACATCATCCATTTTTGGATAAATTTATAGATATTTGTAGATAATTTTTATTAAGACTTAAATTACATATGAAATTCATCTTAATTATCTTAATTTATAAAAATGGTATATTTAATGTTTGTTTTCTTTTAGAGAAATTATATTAAACGTCAATATTTGAAGCCAAGAATTGAGAAAGTACTTTTTAGAAAGTGTGTTTAAGAAATAGCACAATTATAATTCACACAATATTTTAGGATGAAATGGCCCCCATATATAAATAAAATTTACACTATTCACCCATCTTCTTCAACCATAACATACCCTGTTGCCATCATTCAAACTTTCAAACCTAAACCGATACCTGCCTCTTATTTGTGCCGAAATCAAGTGGAAATTGAATGAAAATATTGGTTTTTGTGTCGAAATTGCGAGGAAATCATTTCAAAAAGAAAAACACTATGCTTACTCACGAGTTGTACTAACCGCCTTACTATCTTTGTTAAAATTGCACATGGCACCCGTACTATGCGTTATATTTACAAAGGATAGTAAGATGGTGAGTAAGCATAGTATTACTCTTTCAAAAATAACGTATTTAACACGTTTCTTAGAATATATGCAACATTTTCAAAATTTAATATTTCAAACAACTTTCAAATACCGTTTAATAAGCCAATATATATATTAAAAAAAATCCATTACAAAAGAGTTCCTCAAGATCAAGATCACAAAATTAAGTATTAGGTGAGATTTTAGAGTGTAAGCATGAGTTTCGAATAAATTGTTAGGGATTTGCATTAGGGACAATTTTGCCTGCCAAATTTATGTTAAATGAAAATATGCTATTTCTTGAGACAATTCCAAAAAGTGCTATTTTTCAACTCTCTCTCTCTCTCACTCTGTTTGTGTCATTTGATATAATTTCTTTCTTTTAAAGTAATTTGACTTCAGTATAAAATTCTATCTAGGAATTTTTATTTTGTTTTAATGGTTGTATTAAATACATGAAAATTAATTCTGTTAGCTTGGACTCAAAAATCGAGTTACATCTTTCAGCAAGCAAACATTTACTATTTGTTATTCACATTACAAGAATTTAAGGTATATGTCTAGCCTTTTTATTAAATACTGAAAGGCAAAATCAATTAGGAAGTAACTACATAATTCCTAAAAGAAAAATGGTCAATGGATTTCTGTACTTCTCAACAAGTCTCATTTACTTTCCAAGAAAATAAAAATATTTCAAATAAATAATACTACTTTAAATTATGAAAATATCAAAAGCATTGTAACAAAGATAGTAACGTAAAAGAAAGAATTGTGTAATCAGATGTTCAATGATCAATCAATACCATCACCGTTATATTACAATTCTAGCATTACAAATTTCTAAGGTATCAACGTTCTCTTTTATACTGGATTTAGATATACTACATGATACAAAATTTCTCGTGTGTGGTTCATCCCCTGCAAGGGTAAAATTTGATGAACAATAATAAATAGTATAACCTAGTCAGATTTATCTAAATGAACTAAGAATATGATCGAGGTGAAAAAAAAGGCAGGAAGAAAGAATCTGTCTTCTTCATTAACTCAGTGTATGGTTTTGAGCCAGAAGACCATTGAGAAGTGGGCGCTCTGCATCCGTGTTCCCGGTGAGCCCCTTTTTATCATGATGCCAAACTCTGCCATCAGAAAATTGAGGATCAAGAAGCTGAACAACTTTTATTTAAGACCATCAAACAACATTTAGTTTAGTAGGCGCAACAGACTGCTGCATCGTAGTGACAAGTGGAAGCATTCGTCTCTTGCTTATCAAGTAAAACTACTATACACACATTAATTATGAGTCTAATATAAGAATCCCAGGTGATATGTGGGAGAGTGTTATGCACTTTTTTGTAGGCTGGAAGGAATGGAAGCTAATACAACAGTAAAACCTTCTCTAACGGCAAATCTCTTCTCCTCCACCACAATGACATGCCTAGAATAATAAAAAATATATGCGCTCTTCTTTCCCACCCAGCCCTTCCCTTTTATCCTTACTTTTCATTTTTTCTACATTAACCAAAGAAATTAGGTGTAAAGCTCAAAAAAGATACAATCACCAGATAAAATACTTAGTTAGCCCTAATTAAAGATTAAATCATTCTCCTATTTAAGCATCATAATCAAAGGCTTGAGTAAAGCAGCATAGAGACCTTACACTAGTTGATTGGAGCTCCATTGTAGAAGAATCTTCTCCATCCTATAGTACAAAGCATCAAAGTTCAATCATTCCGGAGTCGAGAATTTGAAAAACGAGGAAGAAGTTTATGTAGCAAGAATACCTCAATCAGCAAATCCTTTCTGGTAATCAAACCAATCACACGAGGTGCACGAGGGACAACAAATATATGCCTCAATCCTAGTTGACGGAAAAGATTATATACCTAGTACCATTGGCAAAATGGAAAAGTATCAAATGAGATTGAAATACAGTTGCATATATGGAAACATAAAAGTACAATTAGGATATAAACGAAAAGGTCACCTTTGTCAAAGACATATCTTCAGGGACAACATATGGAGAGGGATTCAAAAATGGAGCAAGATCTATGTACATTTCCATGTCATCTGAACTTAGATGTATATCGTTTATAGATAATCCTTTACTGGATACAGGTTTAGCAAATTCACTGAAATTGTGCCTGGAGTCCAGTAGATCAAATAAATCATAAACATGAGCAAAAAAAGGACAACCTAGAACTACTAAAGAATCACAACTAAATTATGAAATTTCTACTCACCTATGCTTGGGTCCAACCATGGGATCACAAGGCAAAGGACTATGCTGGAAATCTACCTTAGACTGAAGAACAACCAGCAAGTGGCTGCATAATAAATTCATACAGTTGAAGTCAGTTTAATTCCCATTTCTAAAATAGGAAAGCACACATACATGAATAAAATCCTTTCAATTCTACCTTCTAAGCACAAGTCCAATGACTAGTGTTTCTCCACTTCTTGTGTGATCAATCACCTACATCAAGTAGTACATCAAACATTAACATCATAAATCCTTAAAAAATAAACAAAACCAAAACAGAAAAAGCTAAACTTACCGGAAAGCCATTATGATTGTTGCTCCGCAGAATAGAAATTACATCTGCAACCTTCACAACACGAGGAAAGGACACAACCTTCAAAGATAGACAATCAGGCATTACAGGTTGAAATCAGATTAAAGAAAATGTAATAGGTATAAAAGGCCACACCATGGGGGAACTCAAACATCGAATCATGTCCAGCCATATAAGGCTGTGTATTCACTATCAGTGAATTTTTAAATGCTCAAAATGGAATAGGAGCTCAGAAGAGGAACATTGTAACTTTCCAATCAACTTAACCTAAACTTTTAAGTCCCAGCTGTTAACATTTATTAAAAAGTCCACAAATTTCAAGGCAATACCACCTCAGTTCATTTGTTTCAGAAACCCAAAAGGTAGTCAGACTCTGTTTTCATTTATTTTCAGAGCCTCTCCCCAGAACAAATCAAACATCATCCTTTAGCCTGACTCATACTTCAGCAGTGTAATTGTAAATCTTAACTCTGAATGGTTAGGCTACCTAGTAGATTATCTTTTACATGTAATCACAACTATACATTTCTCCCCATGAGTCCATGACTACATTTAAAAGAGTTTTTGGACCAAACACAACATCAAGTAGACAAAGCACTGAACAGACTAAAACCTTTTGAGTTCCACAGGCTTCCTTTGCTGTCATTGTCCGCATCTGATACTTGGGCCTGGATTCCAATAATGGAATGCCCTTCAACCGTGCTTGTTCTTCATATATACCTTCATTAAAGGCATCTCCAACAGCCTGCAGACGAAAAGGATTAAGTTCCTTTCAAAACACATCAATCAAGAAACATGCAAAACTATCATCAACATACCTTTGATATTAGAAGAACAAGCATGATAAGGGGAAGAAATTTCAAATTATTTGTGATTTCAACCATAATGACACAAAGTGACACTGTCATTCGCATAGAACCTCCAAGAAAAGAAGCGGCTCCCAGCAAAGCATATCTGACAATCCACCAGGAATTATTTCAGCACTTCAGGAGTTATGAAAAAGATGCAATCATAGAAGACCCATTTAGCTATAGTAAAGCATATAAATCTCATAACTGCGTTCAAGAGATGGGAAACAAAAAAGACACTCACGTTCCCTCTTCAATGTTGAGTTTCTTGTAAAAATTAACAGCAAACATGCCAACAAGACGTCCATATGTTGATCCTATCATTATTCCAGGAACAAACTGACCAGCAGGAACAGCAGTACCAAATGTCACCACTGCTAAGGTGTAAAACATAACCTGAGAAACATTACAAAGAACTCTAAAATTAAAAGAATAATATAGCTCACGGGAAATTACAAAAGCATAATGTTCATGAGCTACAATATTCAATAAGATATTTGGTATAGCAACAGATATCATACAAGTGATAACAACAATCTTCAAATTCTTAGCATCATGAATTGTCATAGCAACTTTTTTGTTGGAACTTTGGAGGAGGAAATATTAATTGGAGACAAATTATTCATAGAGTATACTTAAGCATTCAGGTATTCTATTTCATGACTTTCAACAGATGCCTTCCAAAGGAGTAATGTTTATAATGAACTTAAAATGATAAGCAGTAGACGTCTAAGGTAATCCAGCACTTGAAAATTAAAAGAAAAAGAAATCCAGAGACCATGGCTTCAGCTCAGCTATCTTAACATCATTTCCTAGTGTGCGTAGTTGCAGAAGTCCCCTATTCTCTAATTAACAATACAGAGTATAAGAACAAAATCATACTTCCCACCTAAGTTTCACGAGTTCAAAGTTCCTCCATAACCAAATTATGATTCACTTGTGGCCTAATGTCAAACTATACTGTCCACCTAACAGGAGGGGAGTGCAAACTCATACTAATCAATTAACATAAGGAAAGAAATTCTCAATTATGTGTGGTGGTTACTAGCACCAGAAAGAAACACAGAGGAAAATTACTGGCGGCTCTGCGAAAATCATCATAATCAAAGGCTTGAGTAAAGCAGCATAGAGACCTTACACTAGTTGATTGTAGCTCCATTGTAGAAGAATCTTCTCCATCCTATAGTACAAAGCATCAAAGTTCAATCATTCCCAAGTCAAGAATTTGAAAAACGAGGAAGAAGTTTATGTAGCAAGAATACCTCAATCAGCAAATCCTTTCTGGTAATCAAACCAATCACACGAGGTGCACGAGGGACAACAAATATATGCCTCAATCCAAGTTGACGGAAAAGATTATATACCTAGTACCATTGGCAAAATGGAAAAGTATCAAATGAGATTGAAATACAGTTGCATATATGGAAACATAAAAGTACAATTAGGATATAAACGAAAAGGTCACCTTTGTCAAAGACATATCTTCAGGGACAACATATGGAGAGGGATTCAAAAATGGAGCAAGATCTATGTACATTTCCATGTCATCTGAACTTAGATGTATATCGTTTATAGATAATCCTTTACTGGATACAGGTTTAGCAAATTCACTGAAATTGTGCCTGGAGTCCAGTAGATCAAATAAATCATAAACATGAGCAAAAAAAGGACAACCTAGAACTACTAAAGAATCACAACTAAATTATGAAATTTCTACTCACCTATGCTTGGGTCCAACCATGGGATCACAAGGCAAAGGACTATGCTGGAAATCTACCTTAGACTGAAGAACAACCAGCAAGTGGCTGCATAATAAATTCATACAGTTGAAGTCAGTTTAATTCCCATTTCTAAAATAGGAAAGCACACATACATGAATAAAATCCTTTCAATTCTACCTTCTAAGCACAAGTCCAATGACTAGTGTTTCTCCACTTCTTGTGTGATCAATCACCTACATCAAGTAGTACATCAAACATTAACATCATAAATCCTTAAAAAATAAACAAAACCAAAACAGAAAAAGCTAAACTTACCGGAAAGCCATTATGATTGTTGCTCCGCAGAATAGAAATTACATCTGCAACCTTCACAACACGAGGAAAGGACACAACCTTCAAAGATAGACAATCAGGCATTACAGGTTGAAATCAGATTAAAGAAAATGTAATAGGTATAAAAGGCCACACCATGGGGGAACTCAAACATCGAATCATGTCCAGCCATATAAGGCTGTGTATTCACTATCAGTGAATTTTTAAATGCTCAAAATGGAATAGGAGCTCAGAAGAGGAACATTGTAACTTTCCAATCAACTTAACCTAAACTTTTAAGTCCCAGCTGTTAACATTTATTAAAAAGTCCACAAATTTCAAGGCAATACCACCTCAGTTCATTTGTTTCAGAAACCCAAAAGGTAGTCAGACTCTGTTTTCATTTATTTTCAGAGCCTCTCCCCAGAACAAATCAAACATCATCCTTTAGCCTGACTCATACTTCAGCAGTGTAATTGTAAATCTTAACTCTGAATGGTTAGGCTACCTAGTAGATTATCTTTTACATGTAATCACAACTATACATTTCTCCCCATGAGTCCATGACTACATTTAAAAGAGTTTTTGGACCAAACACAACATCAAGTAGACAAAGCACTGAACAGACTAAAACCTTTTGAGTTCCACAGGCTTCCTTTGCTGTCATTGTCCGCATCTGATACTTGGGCCTGGATTCCAATAATGGAATGCCCTTCAACCGTGCTTGTTCTTCATATATACCTTCATTAAAGGCATCTCCAACAGCCTGCAGACGAAAAGGATTAAGTTCCTTTCAAAACACATCAATCAAGAAACATGCAAAACTATCATCAACATACCTTTGATATTAGAAGAACAAGCATGATAAGGGGAAGAAATTTCAAATTATTTGTGATTTCAACCATAATGACACAAAGTGACACTGTCATTCGCATAGAACCTCCAAGAAAAGAAGCGGCTCCCAGCAAAGCATATCTGACAATCCACCAGGAATTATTTCAGCACTTCAGGAGTTATGAAAAAGATGCAATCATAGAAGACCCATTTAGCTATAGTAAAGCATATAAATCTCATAACTGCGTTCAAGAGATGGGAAACAAAAAAGACACTCACGTTCCCTCTTCAATGTTGAGTTTCTTGTAAAAATTAACAGCAAACATGCCAACAAGACGTCCATATGTTGATCCTATCATTATTCCAGGAACAAACTGACCAGCAGGAACAGCAGTACCAAATGTCACCACTGCTAAGGTGTAAAACATAACCTGAGAAACATTACAAAGAACTCTAAAATTAAAAGAATAATATAGCTCACGGGAAATTACAAAAGCATAATGTTCATGAGCTACAATATTCAATAAGATATTTGGTATAGCAACAGATATCATACAAGTGATAACAACAATCTTCAAATTCTTAGCATCATGAATTGTCATAGCAACTTTTTTGTTGGAACTTTGGAGGAGGAAATATTAATTGGAGACAAATTATTCATAGAGTATACTTAAGCATTCAGGTATTCTATTTCATGACTTTCAACAGATGCCTTCCAAAGGAGTAATGTTTATAATGAACTTAAAATGATAAGCAGTAGACGTCTAAGGTAATCCAGCACTTGAAAATTAAAAGAAAAAGAAATCCAGAGACCATGGCTTCAGCTCAGCTATCTTAACATCATTTCCTACTGTGCATAGTTGCAGAAGTCCCCTATTCTCTAATTAACAATACAGAGTATAAGAACAAAATCATACTTCCCACCTAAGTTTCACGAGTTCAAAGTTCCTCCACTTGTGGCCTAATGTCAAACTATACTGTCCACCTAACAGGAGGGGAGTGCAAACTCATACTAATCAATTAACATAAGGAAAGAAATTCTCAATTATGTGTGGTGGTTACTAGCACCAGAAAGAAACACAGAGGAAAATTACTGGTGGCTCTTCACCCATTTCTATCACTTGGAATCCAAGATCAGCTCTTAAATAAACAGTCTGTCTTTACTGAACAGGCCACCAAGAACTTAAACATTGCTTTTTCTTTCTCTTTTTGGTTGTATCTTCTCTAGCCAGCATTTGTTTTGGCAGGCCACATGACCAATTTCGTGTATATGTGCAGTTTGACCAAAAAAGTAAAAATTCGGGAGAGAGTACAGGGTCACCATAATCATATAGGATTACAATATACTAAAGATACTAAAAGAGTATGCAAGAGCAAAATATTTTCAAGAGCCAATGCAGCAAGCTAAGTGAAAAAAATGCACTACCAAAAAGGTCAGCAAACTTTGAGCGGTGTACTCATGAATCGTTTTTGCACTAAACAAATTCCTTATGGCATCATCCTGTAACAAATAATAAAAATGTTAGATTGGAACCACTAGAGGCCTTGAGGAATTGACAAGACAAGGATTTGCAAAATTTTGTAATACCTGAGTGTTGAAGAAAATAGTTGCAAGATCATTGTATTCATTGCCCTTGCTACAGTAGAACTACAACCAGCACGGAAGGCAGATAAGAATAACGTAAAGCTATACAAAAAAGTATAGCAGCATGAACAAAGTGTAGAACACACAAAAGCTTCAAGAAACCACGTTAAAGATAAAAACAAAATGTTTCTTTTAACAGCAATTTCTTTCAGAATATGCAAACTGTTAATATTCTGATCATGATCGATTTGTAAAGGTCAATGCACTAAGCCAAGGAGAAAAACACAAACACCAGTGCTGCTATAAAATAGAGTAGCCAAGAAATTACAGTATAAACAGAGTTAGCAAGTTAAAGCGGAAGAGTCGATAACTAAGGTTCACAAGTAATATAAACTTTATTGGGTATATTTAACAAATACTTTTATCAAAACCAAATACAGCATAGAAATGAAACCCTGGTTTGAGTTTGATTTTAAATGAAAATCTGGCAGCACTGAATATCACAGTCAAATAAATAGTTGCAAAAACAAATTAGAAATAAACCAACTACAATATACCAGAGTAAATGAGCAAGCCAAACAAATATCCCCTACACAGCAGCAAGACAATCATAAAGAAAGCAAAGGGATGGTCTTACATTTACATAATTCCCATACATTCCTGGAGGTCTAGGGCATTCAATACCAGAATCAGGATCTGCTTCAGGGCAAGGACTACATTTTCTTAAAAGTGGTAGCCCAAAGGAGACAGTTGAGGTTATCAGGGAGATGAGACATGCTTCAATAATCTGTAAAAATTTGCATTAGAGGAGGAAGAACAAAGTTGAAAGTGAAACAAGATAATGGCACACAAAAAAATCAACAATATAAACAACAATACTGTATAACTTACCTTGACTCGATTCCCTTTTTTGTGCAAATAATTTCTACGCCAGTAAGTCATATAAAGAGTAAGTTGGTTAAACATTGCTCCTGAAAAATAAAAGCAAAACACTATTAATGACTGTAAACCTTTTGAACAATGTGAAAGACAACCAGAACAAAAACATACCAAGTAGACCTCCAATAACCCCAATAACTGCCATTGGCAATAACTCTTCAAAAGAATAGTCCTCTTGGCCACTAAAAGTGGGTTGAAAAATATAGTTAGACCGCTAGAAAACTCAAGCAGGGAAAGTAGGAAAGAGCTGAAGAAAGTATAGATCCTAACTCTGATATGTCCCATATTATGAAGCCGCCTGAGCCAAAATGTCCACACTTGCCACTTCTACACCATCCCATTGCAGTACGGACCACAACAGCCACAATGGCAGAAGTGAAAAAGACCCGCCACATAAGTTGACTCCTCCACCTTCACAAAAATGATGGAAATCGACATTAAACAAAATATTATTCTGGTAGACATTTGGATTGTACAGATAAACATTTAAGTATCACAAAAAAAAAAAAAAGAAAAAAAAAAAAAAAAAAAATTTGATATGCATATATTCACACTGCCATGCTTAAAAACTTAAATATGCAAGTATAAGGACATTTATGCAATTAAAAGGTACACTATGTAATCAGTAACACAACATTCTTACCAAGATGTAACCTCTTCTAATGCAAATAATACACCACCAACTGGAGCTCTAAAAGCAGCAGCAACACCAGCTGCACATCCACATGTTACCTTTTCAAAAAATAACACAAATGAGAGATGAGCTCTATTAAACAGAATAAGTCAAATATTTCAACCAAATCTTAGAATAAGAGAGATGCTCATAAAAGTTGCACAGTTTTCCACATAACATACAAGTCAATAGAGACAGTGCTACTGCCAATAGACTAACTGACATATCAGAACATAAAAAATGTACTCAAAGGCCAGACTCATGACTTAAAAATAACATACATCACAATAAGTGGGGTTGCATGAAGATCTAACAAGGAAGCATTACCCAAGGTACTTCCTTCTACACTTAAGAACAGGATGGTTCACACTATTGACTTTCAAACACGTTAAAGTTACTCACAAGATCACGGCGATCCCGATCACTCTTGAAAACCTGTAGCCACCTTGAACTTAGATGGTATTTAGTGGATCCACCCTGAAACATTACATGAAAAAGGTAATTTAAGTAACAGCAATAAAAATGTAATAGTATAGTAACTGCAACAGGCTCTAGAATGGTACACAGATCACATCTGACATAAAAGTCAACAGGAACACACTTAAAATTCCTAGAAATCATTATCCCAAAACTTGCAAGAGAATTGATATGAAAGACCTTAAAACATTCATTTAAGAGCTTTTGCAGTTTCCCTCAATAAAGACATGAAACTTCAGTTGCAACAAATAAACAATTGGCTGTGTTCTTTTTACATTTAAACAAACTTCAAGAACCTATGGCAATCAAATGACTTAATCACTATGAAAGGCCCATGTTTAAGAACAGAGCATATTTTGAGGTGTATAGATGGCATAGTTGCGCAATTCAAATCATTCCAACAAGAGACACTTACTTGTCCAAGCAAAGAAGCAATACAAGCACCAGTGTGAACAAGAGGGCCTTCTTTGCCTAGAGCTAGACCACCACCCACTGAACCAATGCTTCCAAATATCTGCATATCACCAAGATAAGAATCAATTAGAGCACATAGAACGAAAATGATGCAGCTTAGTCATTAGGTTTTCATAAAGGATTCATTTTGTTTTCCTATCGGGATTCAGAAGTATTCACGAAGTTTTTACACCCAGAATCAGTAGAATGTCAATATCACTAGTGTCACATGTTTAGGAATCCCAATAAGGTAAACATTCAGTAAGTATTTCTAGCCTCCTTAGACACAGTTTCCACATAATTACTGAGTGGTGTTTAATTATTTCAGCTCAGTTTTCAGTTAGAAATGATTTTCCATCTTTGGCGGATGTTAACTTAAAGTATCACTGGATAAACTCTCCTCAACTTAAATTAGGATCCTTTGAAACTCTGGGGCAGAATTAGAACATCTCCACACACAAAAAAATAGCAAACCAAGAAATTCCACAAACCTTTCCAATTAAGGTTCTGAAAAGAAGAATACCAGGAATATCAATTCCTGCAAATTTAAGTAACAGTCAACTCCCTTGGCATATGAAAGCTAAAACAGATCTCAACAAGCAATACCAAGGAAAAACAGATCAGCAACTGTAGCTTACCATTTAAATAACCCTTAATTTCAGGAATGCCAGAGCCCGCTGCCGCTGGGGAAAAATGGGTGACGATGTATACAGAAGAAAAGACTAAAACCAAGTTTATTAATATGTACACCAGAAAACCAGCAAAATATGATTTTTGTATTATATTAAAAGTTAATGCAAACTTCCAGCCGGCAAAGTTCTCAACAGATATATTGATGAAAACAGCAGCAAATGCAGTACCTGAAAAATCAACCAAAGGAAAAATTAAAAAAGAAAACAAAAGATGACAAAAAACTGTATAAAATGTAAAATGACAGATGATAGTGAAAATGTGAACATCTATTAAAGTAAATAAGAACTAAGAAAAATCATCAGAAGTATGAATTTCAATCTCTAGCGTTTAACGAAATTATGTTTGTGAGTACTAAAAACAATAAGATTGTGCATCAGCATTACATCATTTCCAGGTGACCATTCAAAGGGCAGGAAACATTTAAGTAGATAGTGTTGTACATCCAAAATTTGCTTTCACCTCAATGTTGCAAAATTGTTAAATTGGTAATTACATTTCATTTCATTCATTTAAATTTTGCAATAAATAAAGTAACCATTGATATCATAATTAAGTGCAAATGATGGATTATATTAACAACAAAAGACTATCAATTAATCTACTAGTCAAAGTGTTTTTATTGGATACTCCCTAACAACAGACTTTCAAATTTTCAGAGTAAATCAAATTGATCTAAGAAAACAACAGCACAATAAATCGCACTCGCATAATTGGATATCTGCCAACAAACTCTCACCAAAGTCTCAGCAGAAGCGATAAATTACTTATCACATTATCCAGAACAAATAATATGGTCACACAATGTATAAAAAACACACTACTAAAAAATTCCATAACTCATTCCGCCAAATCTACAAGCCAGTCCACTTTAATTAAAACAATTTACATCGGATCACTACACAAGGCATGAGAAAGAAAAAATGAAGATGAAACAGAGCACTATTTACTATCCGCTTACCAATGCCAATGAGCAAAGCAAAGAACCATTTCACCACCACATAATATCCAACATAAAGCTTTCCTCTCAGCGCCTATAATATAAACAAACACAAATAAGCACAAATTAACTCAAAATCAAACTCCAAAAATAAAAATAAAATAGAAACAGAAACAGAAACAAAAACAAAAAGTTTTGTACCTGCTCTTCTCGATAGGCGTAATTCTCAATAACTTCATAGTCAAGACTGTCAACACCGTTGCCTCCACCGCCTGAACTCAAGAGCCCAATACCTTCAGACTCGCCGTCCTCTCCGTTCGGAATACGAGACCAAACCAGCTTTGCCGTTTCAAGTCCATTCTGCAAGTGATTCGATGACATAATCGATTCACTATAAACTCAGATCTCCTCCAAATCAAACCCTGGCCTGGCGTTCAATTCTCCGAACAGCAAAAAAAAAAAAAAAATTATACTATTCAAATCGTAAATAACCAACTCAGCCTCAATCAACCGCAATTCTGAAAATTTAGCGAGAGAAAGAGAGAAACCAAGAAACACAAATTAACTAGCACGCACAAACGTAAGTGAGTTTCTCTCTTTCTCTCGAAATCCTTTTATTTATTTTCTTTGGTTCGTCGCTGTATTTTGTTCTTTATATGCCGTTGCGTCTCCCGTTAATATATTGACTCGGAATTCCATTTTGCTTTTCGGCGAAGCAGAGATGCGCGGGGGGTTTTGATCACATGCATCTCATCTGTACGCAAACTTTTTCAGCGTTTTGACTTTTCTGTTTGATGAAGGGCTACACTGTGCCTGATTGGTTGGATATGATGACGTGGAAGGCAGAATTTTCAGGAGATTTTCTAACACTGATGTAGGGAATATTAGTTCATGAGTCGTCATTAGGGACTTGGAGTAGACCAACACCAACCGCTGAGATTAATAATAATTCAATCCAAGGTAGGTGCTTTTGTGGGCACGTAAGGCAAGCTGATAATTAATAATTTAATATATTTAATAAGTTTTCAGATGAATTGTTAATTGAGATTGAATCGTAATCACTCAAAATGAGGGATTCAGTTGGGTATATGATAAATATTTCTCACCTTTTAACCTACAAAAGTAGTGGCTTAGTTTTGAAATTAGTTTGGTGCGCCTTAGTTGAGCCTAATAACACTCACCATTCATGTTCTAATCAAAGAAACATTACGTGGGAAATGAATAAGCAAGCATACGATAGCTGCCTACTATGTCGACAATATTCTAATAATAAAAATTGTTCTACAACTTATTCTTTCAAATTTTTTCACATTGACAACTCGCAATTGGTCAAAACTCTCGATTTAATAGACAAAATTTATTACTAATTGATCAATTACGAACTGTCACATCGAAGTTATAAGAGATAGTTTGTGAGATTATATTTTAAGTACAGTATTACTCATATTCCAATTAGGAATACCATTTTATTTTTATTTTTTTTTGTAAATTTTAAAGGAATATCAATCATTAAGCATTATTTTAATTAAATCTTTGGATATATATATATATATATATATATTATAATAATTTAGATAAATGTTAACATTTTAAATTATAAAGTTCAAATTAGGTTTTATAAGGCAAACGTAGAAGATGGCAATTGGAGTGTGATTATGATAATATAACTAATAAATCGGTAGTGACTAGTGACAGTGGCACATATTGAGTCAATCGAGGACGAATGGCCCAAAGTAAGGGTTCTGGCTTTAACTTTGAACCGCAGACGAGAACCATGTGAACATAACTAATAAATTTGTTTCATTCATCTAACATTTTATGTTGACTTGGACTTCAAATCTTCTATAATCGGTCGAATTAAATTTAAGCTTCTTGACAACTTGAATTGATTTTATTTAGGAGCTGATTTGTGGAGACATAGACAACAGTAACACCGGAAATTTGGATTTGTTGACTTTCTGCTTAACATGGCTTTGAATTGTAAACAATGATATGGTTGCTGCAAGAAAAGTCAATCGATCAAATACAATGTAATTACGACACCCAAATTAATAGTTGATGAACACATTTTTGTTTTTCCCTGACAATTTTGTGAGGGGAAAAGTACATACGTTTGAATTTCCTTTTTATTATTTCAACGAATTAAAATAAATAAATAGGGGAGGATTAAGTAATTTAACCGCTTCCAGCCATCTTCACTATGTCATCTCCAGATATCTTATTATTGGGTGGTACCTGCAAAAGCTCAGTTTTGAAAGGCATGGTTCGGATTTTCTACATCTCTCTTTTGCCTTATGCATTTCATAATTTTGTCCGCGGAGAGGATTCAGCTATAGCCAGCTCTGTATACATATCTGATATCGCTTTCGCAAAATACTGCTTCGCTTGAGGTCTCTTCACCTGAAAATAAATAAGAAGTGAGAACCTACATAATTTTATTTTATTTTTCATTTCCATTTGCACTTCTTTCGAATTTTCACTTCAAACTAAAGACTTGCCTTAAATGTCGGCGTGAGCAGACCATTTTCCAACGTGAACGGTTCATGCACCAACGTCACAGCTTTGACAAATTCAAAACCTCTCAGCTGCAAATAATTTATCCATAAATATATGAACAATGGTGAAGAGAACAATTAAGGCCGTGAGAATAATGGTAAATTTCAACTTCATTAAGATGCATTTACCTGCGCTTCTCTTCCAATTGCATCCATGTCAGCCAGGACAGCGGCTTTTGTTCTTGGGTCATTGCACAGTTGCCCTAGATCTTCATACTGCACTCAGACATTAGCAGATAATCATCAACAAAAAGAATCGTAGCTCTCCTGGGTGAAATTATGATAAGCAAGGCCAACATATTAAATGCACCACCCAAGCATGCTCTTCCGTAAATGTAATAATCAAGCTGTGATGGCAATTACAATAAAACCAGCAACTAGTGGCCTCCCAAACACAAATATGCAAAGCAAGAGAAATTCATCTAGACCTAAGTTCCAGTATAAAGGTTCAAGTGCAATTTATACAATAATTTGACTATTTGTTATTTATTTAAGACTGAAAACCAAGATAACATCACCTTAATGCCTTCAGATGCCGCCCATGCTTTTAGAACATCTTGATCCAGTGAGACAACCGCTACCAAAGAAGAATTTAGGCTGTCACCTGAAAATTGAAACTTATACACATCAGCTAACAGAGAGGTAGAGAAAGAGGAAGATAACGCAGTGCGAAATCTTATTTTCTTACCATAGACAAAGCACTGGGCAACAAACTTGCATTTGGCATATACATTCTCAATTTTCTCTGGAGCTATGTACTCTCCCTGAGCTAACTTAAAGATGTTCTTCTTCCTGTATCAGTAAACAAGATTTCAAAGTTAAAAAAAATGCTAAAAGTCTGTAGCATGCTCCAAGAATTATTCATCCTGGAGATAAAAATAGAGGTTCATCATCCACTCCAAACATCAGCTCTCACAAGTTCATATCTAATGTTCATTTGATTGGTACCTAATTTGGATTGATCTTAATAAGGTGTTTAAAACCTCAAAATTCTGGGAGAAAAAAATTGACGAAAAAAAAAAAAGGAATACAATAATTTTTGTTATGCTCACAGATCCCTAGTTCCCAGAAGGGTTAAATAAAATGTGCTTCTACCAAATAGCAACAACCTTAAGAATGGTTGAAAATACTACAACAAAATGAGTGGGAATTCCAAGTCAATTATGTCATCATAAAGAAACCTTATTTGTGCTACTAATGCATTAACTAAAAGCCATTTGATGCCATAACCTGGAAATTTGTTTTCCCATAGCAGCCGGTAGTAATGATGCCTAAGATTCTCAGAAAACCAAAAATCTCTGGCCTCAAGACTTAAAACATACTACAAGTTTTATTGCAAGCTCGATATTTTCTCCTAGCATCTACAGACTATGTAAACCACAAATAGGAAGATAAAAACATGTAATTCATTGTATGCCCTGATTCTCTATGAGACTAAAGAGGAAAAAAATTATTTATTCAACCAGAGATAGTCATTAAGGATGGCAAGATCTCACCTATCAATAATCTTTAGACGACCTCCAGGTAACCACAACCCCACATCTCCAGTATGAAACCATCCATCTTCATCGATAACTTCTTTCCTGTCCAATTTAATTAAAATATCATTATTAAGGGGCACTCCAGAAGCTCAATAACATCAAAGGAAACAGTAGTAGGGTAAGGTGAGTACGTCTGCACTTCATCTTTGTAATATCCCTTAAAAACAATGGGACCTCTAACACAGATTTCACCACGAGGATAAGGCTGATCCTCAGATGTGTAGTTCATCTCTGGGACATCCACAAGCTTGATCTCTAACAAATCAGCAGAAGGCATTATGAAGAAAGCCCAATAAAATAAATGAATGAAAAGCATGTAGCCAGATGGCAAAGCTTTTACATTCTATATGCCATATGTAATATGCATGCCAGTAACTCACCGCATGCTGGACTTGGAGAGCCAACATGACCAGAGAGGTTGTCACCCTCGTCCACAGCACTTATAACACATGAAGTCTCAGTCATTCCATATCCTTCACTTACTCGCCCACCAAAGCAGCTGCAAGCAATAACCCATTAATAGGTATGTGAGAGAAGCCTTAATTTCTTTGTAGGAACCGAATATCTAAAGCAGTAACTTACATTTTCAAAAAGTCCATGACATCAGGAGATAATGGTGAAGCACCTGAACACATAAAACGAATTCTTCCTCCAAGTTTTTCTCTTATCTTGTTGAATACCAATTTGTCCCACATGGGAGATGGATTCTTACCTGCCAAGTTGATGAACCATGTATCACATTTGTACCATGAATGTAACAAAAAAGTGGAATTTTTATATTTTCTTAAAAAGCTGTAACTGAGGTTAAATAAATATAATACAGATAATTGTATACACATACACACACAAATATAGAGCTCCTTTATATGCTATTCATTACCACTCAATAGTGCTTGCTTCTTAGAGTTGTATGCTGCATTAAACAGCCTCTCCTTTAGCACACCAGATGTCTTTACAGCATTTGTAATGCTGCAGAATCAAGGTACTTCACGCAATTAACCCATCAACACTAGTTGCAACCAAGTAAATAATTTAGTAGTAATGTCAGTGTATTCACCCAGCATATATTCTATTATACAGACGAGGAACACTGCAGAATATAGTGGGTCTTAGAGCTGCCAAATCATCCATCAGTTTCATGTTGTCCTGCAAACAGAGGTCAAAGGAATAATGTAAGACCTATTAACAGAACACAAGTCAAAGTACTTTTCATTTCTACCAAGCCAACATAAAAAAATAAAAATAAAAAGAATTACAAATATACTAAAGTATTCGGTTGCATTACAATATTTATCTGTATTTGAAAACAATCTTGCAGAGTTCTGTTAGATAAACTGTTAGTCAGAGTGTTGCTAGCATCCAGAAATTAATGTTAAGAAGTATAAGATTATTCACAATTGAACTGAACAAAGACACTAAAAGGAACCAATTTACAAAACCATGAATCAACTTGGTAAATCATTTGTGCAAACAATTTGCTTGGTAATTTGAAATGTAAGGAAAAAACACAATGCTTGAACTTCAGCTCCACAAACTTTTTTAAAAAAAAAAAAAATTAAGGCTCCATTTGG